CGGCGGTCGGCCATTTTCTTTTTTCCTCTCCCTCATTCCTAAGACGTTAGCACACTATTAGGACAATTCTGACTTATTGCTCACAATCTGCTTTTATTCTTGCGGTACAAGTTGTAAGATACAGCGGGTGTATTTTTATATTTTAAAATAGGCACCATTTTAAACTTTAAGTTTAAGTAAATTGAAACTATAATTAAAATAGAAAATACTTAATGAAGACGTATTATTAAAAGCAATACACCAATTATTACAATTCGCCATAATTTAAGCGTTTTTTGTACTTTTACTTGTGACTTTAACAATGATAAAAATGGAAGAAAAATATATATCATAAAATTTTTATTATAAATTTACTCCCGAAATATTAGGACTGATTAATTAATGATCATTATCATTACTAATGAAGATGAAGTATGTATTTCTATAGTAACTGATCGTTGTATAATATCCCCGCTTCATCCTATGACTTGTTCCGTGTACTCGTAACGCTGTGAAAGGGTGGATCGGTTCGTGACGGCGGGCAGATCCGCAACAAGTGACGATTTATTATAAAAATACTCGCAAGACACATCGCCTGCAGAAACTTACAGTAACCTACAGAAACGTGGCTTTAACGTTTTATAAGGATATTTAAAAGATTTATTCGAGTTAAAAGTATAGGTATAAAAGTATATTGGAAGAATTTGTCGAAGATAGTTTGAACAATAGAATGAAATATATGAAAATTATATATAAAAAAGTAATTATATAATTATAATCAGGTCATAATGTGTAAAATTGTATTGTTTTTTCGTTAATGTTTTTAATTTAAATGAAATATTACTAAAATATATAAAAATGAACTAATTATTTCGAATAAAACGCGTAGTTTACATATCGTTTGCTTGTGATTATTGTTGTAAAAACCCATTTGTCATCATTGTATAGTTTTAAAATAATAAAAAATGCATGTTAATATACGAAAATTAAATTTCATTTAAATATGTACACGTAAAAATCCTATCTGTCATACAAAAAATCACACAAATTATTTCTGTGAGAGTTACTTTTAGTATTTCTATTCTATAAAACCTGTGTTTAACTGTTGGTTCTCAATTTAATATCAATAGATTTCAGCACGGGGCGATCCTTTTCAGATATTTATAATATAATTATGTAATAAAGTTATGAATATAAATGCTCTGTTCTTGAAATATGTTACATCTTTGTGTCTATGGGTGTCTGTGGAGACTGTCGAGGAGAGAGTTCGTGTAATAAGGTTACCCGGAGAGCCTTAAGGCTGTATTCATCGTCGAAGCCTGATAACAAGATTCGGTCCACCTTTTGTGAACATCCCGCCGGTTCATTCATATCGCTTTAAACAACTTACATCAAGCTCAGATCAACAAGTTAAATTCGATTACTTCAATTAATACAATGAAAATTCAACTTCAGTTACAAATTTTAATTTAAATATATGAGTTTATTTCATTTTAATACTTTTAAAAACTATTCTTGAATGCCATCAAGATAGTAATTGGGAATTAATATGACAATAGAATTGTAATACTTCAGATGATTAATTATAGTTGTATTTTCACGTCATCAAAATTATAAATGATGAGATAAGATGAGATAAAAGATCAACAATCCGATGAAAACTAGATTTGATGATGAGTACGATGTCATCGGATGGGATGGGATGGCTCACAGCACCCAATTCCGTGCATAAAACGAAATGGAACAAAGGAAGACGAAACGTCAGTCGCAGCCTCCGGAAATTGAGAGAGAGATCCTTGTGAGATTTATAATAGAATTTTATATATAGGAGATAATTATGTGTAGACAACACACGCACACACACACACACACACACACACACACACAAACATGAGGTCATCGTTTATACAATAAAATATCTTCATACAAATCATATTATTATTTTTCTATGAGACTATTATTTTAATTGTTCATAAGTTTTTAGCCTCAACGTATTTTGTCCTCTTGTATAAGTTAACCAATATGCCTGACCCCTGTGTGAGTGTTCAATGTATGAAAGGGGGGGTGTAGTTGACTGGTTGTCTGTTGTTACACGATAGTACGGGTCACTTGTTACTCACAATGTATGAGAGTGATACGCGGACGGCGTTAATGTGTTTGGAAGATTACTACGCTTTGAAAATATTACTTTATATATATATAACGACGCTATCAGCTTTAATAAGAGATGCGACATGAAAATAATTTGAGGCTGTCATCAATTATTATTAAAACTCATTAGTATTCATGATTATTGTTAAAAGTAAAACGAAATCAAAGATTGTTTAAAAGGAGCATAGAACTATGTTTAAATCTTGGTATGTATAAATATGACGTCTGGACGCACGACGGCAGAATTCAGAGTTCAGTGAGTGCGTATCATTGAAGTATGTGATTAAGAAGAACCTTCGAGAAATACAGGAGCATTAAGAACAATTGAAGTTTCATTTTAAAATATCATGGACCGTACTAGAAGAAGTGACGTTTGTAACGTCAGCGAGGCTGGTGTCTCTGTCTTTAAAAACAACGAATGTGTAATAAATCTGATGTATATAATATAATAAGCAACCCTTCCTTTTGATTTATTAAAATATCCTCTAGTTAATTAGATCAGTATTCTTCTATCGAGTCTTTCTATAGCTCGTGAAACGTCCTAACAGTCGGAGCTCTGTATAATCAAATTGTTAGATTCTGTGAGGTAATAATCATCATTGTATATTAGTATCATTAACAAATCTATCACTTTAGAAATATGTAAGAATTATTACATTAATTAGATCTAATCTAGATCGTCTGTCTTTGATCATGGTTGCTGTAAAATAACCGAACGTTTTAAGTATGTAGTTTTACGAAAAATATTAGTTTCATTTAAATGAATACTCGCGACAGTCTTAGATCTCATTATGAAAAGTTGATGGTCAAACAAATTACTCCTTTGACTTCTATGACGAATTTTATGTAGTAATTTTAATCAAAAATAATGTCGTGTAGTACATCTTAAAAATATTAGTTTCATTTAAATTATTAATATGTTATTTATAATTAGTATATTTTTTAGTTATTTATTCTTGTATATTGTTATACAGGAGGGACGCTAAGAACCGTCTTCATTATCGTGATTGGAGCGGTTACTTTTGATGTCTGATGTTTGTTCTCGAGGGATGCTTGTGGCTCGGTAATACAGAAAATAAATAATTAAATGTTTTACAGTCATAAAAGATTTATTATAATACATCTTGAAAGAAATGTATTAATATAACACGCTTATTTTTAGTTTTGATCGCCGAATCGAACTTATTAAGTAAATAATATATTATTATAACGAACTTTTTTTGCATCTATGAATGAAAAACAGTTTATTTCTGTTTTATTCATAATTCTAAGATGCTCACAAATGACTTCCATATACTATTATAACGTCTAATATACTATATCGCTCAAAAGAACATTACCTATATATATATATATATGTACATAAGGAAGGTAAATCTTATTTATATGTTTTTGTAACCCTGGTATGAGGTATGTAAAAACTATCATAGTTGTCGAGTTAACAATAAACTATTCGTTAAACGTTTTCGTGATCCTCGAGGACATCGTGTCAGTATACATTTCAATATGAATCTCATAAACATATTCCCCAACTCGAGATCATCATTATTCCATTGTACTGTAAGAGTTTAATTTTCTTCCGAACTAAACAAATATATTTAATTTCATTTATCGATCTTTAAAGTTCACTTAGTATTGTACATATTACTCAATATACAATATGTATAATTATAATTTAATTTATATTAATTTACAATCATTATAAACAATAATTAAAATATATGCCCAAGTTATGTAGTCATCAAATCTTTCTTAATTTTCTTTAGTTACGAATCCCGTCTTCTTCTCCACTTCGCTACAATACAATACAATTTACCACAAATGCAATTTTTCTAATAATATATTTTATTATTAAATGTATTTTTCATCATCATCATCCGTAATTCATCACTTGTGTGACATCTTGATTCAAACGATTGGTCTAAAATTATGACAGACATGCCATAGATATATATATATATATATATATATATATATATATATATATATATATATATATATATATATATATAGGTATACTGGTATTGTGGAATATCTTTCCACTGTCGAAGGTTTTACTTAATGTACGAATATTTAATTAAATTGTGAGTACCGTTATTTTAAAACATGAACGAGTCTATCTAATAGAATAATGGTGATTTTTTTTACTAAGATTTGAATCAACATTAAATATATTATATAATGAATACAAATGAACTATAATACCAGGAAATTAAATTTATAAATGCGTTGTTTCTTCAAATATGTCTAGTACCGACTTCATCTGACGATAGCAGCCACACGTTTAGTGATGGACATTATTTATCGATGAATTATTGAAAAGTATCGATATACATCGACACAATTATATTGATAATTAAATAATTTAGAGTTTAACAATAATAATTAAAACTTGTTAACTTAATTTATACTCTAATAATATTGTTATAACATGGACACAACATGTGTCGTTGTAAGGACGTTTCCGGGAGTTGGTACAAAGACGTCTGCAAGCGAACTATACGTCCGACGTCATCACTTTAAACTTAATATTATATGTTATTAAAGACATATACATATATATGTATATAGAATTATTAAGTGATGTACACTTGTTTGAAACTTTATGTGAAGAACCTTTTGTTTTTTAATTTTTTTTGTCCTAAAGTCGAATAAAACAAAAGCAATCACTAGTTCAATATTATTGAATACGTATTATAATTTAATTTCATATATTTAGTAACTTCTAGAGAGGTTTTCTCGTCAGATCATCGTTCTAATGACGTCTAGTTAATGTTGACCCTTCACCAAGAGTATCTGTCTATGTAGCTAGAGGTCCAAGTCGCTGGTACATCATGAGTCGGTTCCTCAAATTCCATTGTCATTATTGAATGAGAGTAAAGAGTTATCGAAGCCCGTCACGTCCCTATAGTCCCGGAGGAACTCCTCCCTACATTCCTCGCATCGCCTCGTACCGACTCCAATATTTGTCGCTCCGCATATTAAGAGCTTGGAATTCTTTATCGGTAGGTATTGAACGTTCTTTAGAACAATAAGGAGACTATAATGGTTAGAAGTAGGTTACCCGTCGATTTAAAACACCCCCCCTCCACCCCTCCACCCCCCCACAAGCCACCCTCGACGTTATTACAGATGACGGCAATTTCAGCAATAGTTCATTCATTTTTATGTTGAGTGCCCAACTCCCGACTCCCGAGTCCCGAGTTTAAAGCGGATCAAATTGACTGTAAAACGTTTCTTTGGTTGTAAGAAAAATTTACGATAAGAGCCGCTACCTCTGGAACCACAACCTACTGAACACTCACGTCTACACACTCACATTACAATCATACCCTTTTTATATTAACACATAAAAAATTACACCAACTTTATTATTTCATTAATAACTTACTACTTGAACGACTTGTAATATATATTCGCATTGAAACTAAATGTGGTTAGACTTTAGATTCTGTAATAATCTTAATAATACACATACACATTTGTACATACATATAAGAACATTAACAAATTCTAAGCAAGACATGATTAAAATATTCTTAGTATAATTATATTACAAGTGTTTTTCAATTCAAATGATAGTGTTTAAGTTGGACTTATCAATAATGTCATAAAGTAATGACTTGTATTAATTAAAATGTTTATTGTAACTCGTGGGTAAATATACTGATTACTGTTACACTTTGAAATCAGAAATATATGTATATTATATATTCATTATTATTATCTTCAAAATAACAAATTATTTTATTTCTAAAACATTAATAACTAACACAGAATTATCTGTAATTTGTATTAATAGAAGCCCCTGCGTAATCTTAGTTAATAAAAGGATTCTAAGGGGAGGCTGTTCAGTGTTTACTTCGTCTGTACGAACAGATCAAAGTTTTAAAACGTTATCTTTACTTAGAAATACATAATAAGTCGTAAAATATGGATACAGAGACAATAACTCATCTTTCTTTACTAATTAACAAACGACTTTAGATTCTATTATAACATAAATAGTGATTATAATCGTGTGATGTTATGTCAGGTAGTTGGTAATTATTATTTTTCGCCAATAATTAGTATATAGCGGGTAATGTTTAAATGAACGTTCATTGTTGTCTCCACGGAGGATAGGGTAGGGCGGTTTGAGAGATATATTATAAAGAAACATGTTTAAAATGAAATAAACTTATATTATACAAGTGGAGTGTCTTCGAGGATCACTGACATGGATAAATATTACTACTCTGACGCTGCCTACGAGCTGGTGAGTGATTATAACGTAACCTTCATTAGTTAGGGTGAAACAGTAGGTTTTGTTCTATATAAAGATAGAAAATATTACATTACGTATATATACAACGTGATTTTCTGTATAGTGCGAACCTAAAATTGATTTTTAAATAATGTTAAATTTTATACCCAAATTTGTACCATATTGAATGCTCCCAGATATGTATATAAATGTGTAGAAGTAGTACTACTTTTAACTGAATTGAAGTCTAGAAGTATATTTTCGTATTATTAATTTAATCAAATTAAATTCACAGGAATTAAATCTGCACAACGTGAGACGGGAACTGATTCTCATGATGGAGTTGTTTGAGGAGGCGGAGTGCGCGGATTGCTTCCAGGTCAAGTGTAAATGCGTCAAGACACAGAAGACAGACAGCGGATCGATCAAGAGCGAGGAAAGCCAGGCCAGCGAGAAGAACTCCACTGATGATAAAGAACAGAAGGAAGCAGAAGAAATAGTAGAAGAAGAAAGCTTGGGGCAATCAACACCAGAGAAGGAAGATGTCACCAAGAACATAGAAGCGTGGATAGAAGCTGCTAGTAAAGTTGAAGAAGAAGTAAAGACGTTCCCTGTCGATCTGAAAGAACAGCTGCCAGTCATCAAAGAAGACAAGGCATCCCAGATACAGAACATTGTATCCCGTACAAGCGCCGTCGAAGCTTTCTTCAAATATTTCAAAGTACCGCCAGCTACTGGCACGGTCAGCTTCGTTACATCCAGACTAGCTGCTGCCTGTTCCAAATCCTCTAGACAGAACTACTCGTATTTTTAATATATATAATAATTTCTACGTATAATTCATTAGGTTACACGGTATCTGTTTTATACCAATGGACATAGTTGATAAATGATTTTACAACGAACTCATTACCAAAAAAAATATTCTTGAAAACAAATTACTATAATTAAGCATTTTTTTTATATTTTCTGTGTAGAATAATGATATAAGACCACTTATAGTTGATACTAATTAATTAATTACTATGTTTAATTATTAAGACGAATGATGTAATTTGTATTGAAGGAATTACTAAACAACTTCTAGTAGAATTTTGATACTTTATAATTTTATACATTGATCGATTAAAATGTGTTTTTAATGAATCCTGTTTTCTTATTTATCCTTTTAAAAACAAAGAAATGCTCTTAAATTACTTTTACTTTAAAACTAAAAGTAACTGAAATAACAAAAAGTTTCATTTATGTTAGTGTTTAAACTCAAATCATATAGTTTTTATTTTTAAAGGATTTTTTTAACCTTTTATTCTTGATTCTTAAAAAATATAATGTTTGCTTATTCTGTTTTTAATTAGTTAAGAGATTCTTAAGGAACTATTTTTATAACGTTTTTAAAGAAGTCGACCAAACGAGAAGGATAAAAACAGTCATAAATACTTCATTAATATTTTTTATAGGAATATAAATATTACTGCTATTTATATTAGTAATTCATTAAGTAAACCATAAAAATAGTACCATTATAGTGTTATGTTTAAAAATATTATAATATATTCTGTGGGGATTGCCAATTGTTTTAAATCAATAGTTTACAATACTCATTCAAAGCACACAACCCTAGTTGACGTTAACAATAAGATGGCGGCCGGGCGACGCCGCGAACAGTGAGCAGTGAGCTGTCAGTTGTCAGTCTTACGCCGTTGTTGTTAGTGAGTGTGTGGACTCGTAATTAGTAAACAAAATTATTTAGTTGTTATTTTAAAGTCGATATGGCGTCAGTGTCGACGCCGGTTAACACTATTAATAGGGATAACTTGATGGTGTTGATTAGAAATAATGTTTTGAACACGTCTCTAGAGTTCAACGACCCCGATGTGGTAAGTTGATGTTTGATATTTTACATAGTTAGTTAACTTAAATTAAAACATACCTGACTTAACATATATATGAATATATTCAAATGTATAAATGATCAGCATTAGGATTTGTGTGTACCTAACGTATACTTTTTATTTCTTTAGGAAATTTAAGAGAACACGTAATATAGGTTATACTGTACATTTAATAACACGAAAATATTTTGATTAATATTTAGTCATAATTATATTAAGAAATATAGATTTGCGAACGTTTTATTGCACTCGTTATGTATATAGGTCGTCATTGAATTATTATTACGTGGATATTTTAATACATCTGAGCGAAGTAAGAATTTTAATAGATGCGGAATGTCCTTGAGTGGTCAGGTAGTGTTCAAGGAATTTGGGTTCCGTTATGGGATGAAGAGTAATTTGTTCGTCTTATTCTCTTGAATACCGACCCTCAATATAAAATACTTAAATGCTATTCAATAAAAATACAAGACTACTACTAAAAACATAGTTTATGTTTTCTAAATATTGAGAATTATTTGATAATTACTTCATTATAATCATCTAGTTTTGATCGTAATATTCAATTTTGAAGTAATAATTAATGCTTTATTACTATACTAGCTTTTGCCCGTGACTTTTTTGCGTAAGTTTCATAATAAGGAATGTATAGCCGACTAGGCATACTGTTTCTATTTACAGATAATATATGAACGAATTTTGAATTTTATTAGCAATTTTTTTTTGTTGAAAGAATTCAAAAGTATCCTATGTCCGTCTCCTGATTCCAACCTAACTTCCCATAAATTTCCAGCCAAATTCGTACAACCGTTCTTGAGTTATAAAGTGTAACTAATACGACTTTCTTTTATATATAATTATATAGATTACTAGCTTTCCGCCCGCAGCTTCGCCCGTGTGGAATTCGGTTATTTCGCGTTTTAAAGAGATTTTTTTAAAAGTCTGGGATAAAAACTATCCTATGTTCTTTCTCAAGGTCAACTCCATCTCTGTACCAAATTTCATTAAAATCAGTTCAGTGGTTTAGGCGTGAAAGTGTCACAGACAGACAGACAGACAGAGTTACTGTCGCATTTATAATATTAGTAGGTATATAAAGCCGATGAATATGTTTGTTCGTTTTGTTCCTTTAATCTGTTGTGATAGTTTTAAACAAGTCGTATATCGATGAAGACTAGTATATAATATAGAAGTAGTATATAGTAGTAGTATATGGTGATGTTGGTCCACTACACGGTCAATAGGAGCGGAGTATCGAGACATGTTGTAAAACTTGACTACTCTAAAATATTAGTAGTCTGAACTATTGAAATACAACACAACATTGTAGCAACCGGTACATATGTACTTTTATTTAATATTCCTTTTCTAGTTCCTTAGATACGAAATAAACGATTAATATACAAACGAAGTCGTAGGCAAAAGTAGTATAGAAATAAATAAGAATATAATGTATTAAAAATCATTGTTGGATTGCTGAATCATATGAATTACGAGTTTGTCATCTGATAACAAATGAAACAATATAATAAGACTCACGCGAGTTTTCATTTAAATGAAACTATGTAATATCATTAGGATTATTTTAGTATTATAAAACCATATACTCCCGATGTTTCGATTACTTTTCAGCAACCGTGATCACGGACAGACGAGATGTGTTTCCGAAAAGTAACCGAAAAATTTGGAATATGTGGTTTTAAAATAATAAAACACGCATGGTATAGTCCGAAAAATTTTATTTACATTCAAATGTTCTATATATTCATTGAAAGTTACTGAAACAAAATAAAATCATATACATATAATCTTTTTTTATAATTTAGATGGAGACAGATTCTCCTGTGAGAAAACCAAGAAACCTCCAACCAGTCATTAAGAAACTGTTCCATTCACCTATCACATCACAGACCACACACGACAAGGAAGATATGAGGAGTCTGTCTAGCAAGGAGAGGAGGAGGAAGAGGAAAAGGAGGGAGCTGCTCATCAGCTCAGATGATCACATTAGGATGGCCTACATGAGGGAGGGAGGGAGGGAAATTGAAGGAGGGAGTCCAGAAACTTGTGGAATGAGGAAGAGAGTACTGATCAGTCTATTTCATAATAAAGAGTATTGTATGGAAACAACAGAGTGAGGGAATAAAACTAGCTGACCCGACGTACGTTATGCAATATAAAAAAATAAGGGTTGGTGATAAGAAAATAAAAATTTAGGCGCATTATGAGAAAAAAGCAAAAAAATTTAGGGGTGAATAACCTTTATCACTTAGGGTTATGAAAAATAGATAGTAGTCGATTCTCAGACCTACTGACTGCGTATATAAGATTTGGTAGAAATCGGTAAAGTGACTAACATTGTGACCTGGAAATTTTATATATTAGATTAAATTTGCTACGTATTTTACATATAGTAAAGTAATTATAATCTTTTTTACTAAATCTATTACTTTAGTTTTTTAAGTCTTATTATTATATTTAGTTAATTCTATATTTTTAAGTATCTCTGTCTTCCTCTTTTATAGAAAATATATAGTTGTATAATGAATTTTATATGAAGAATTATTTAGCATGTTATAATGACCAATAAATATATTGATCACAAACCGTTTTTCATTTCTTTATTGTTTAAAAATAATATAAAACGATACATAATTTCTTTTATTTTTTCTAATATTATTTAATTATTCAATATTAGTGTATAATTAATAAAATATTTTTAATATAAAGCCATTTAACAAAAAAAGTTTAGTTTAAGAGAAATTTAGTTGATATTTATAAAAAAATCGTAATCTTATATAATGAGATGAATCTCATTAGTTCTTAATACTTTTAAATGTAAAAACTGTTTTGTTAATTACAGTACTCTTAGTACGAGTCGACATGATCACACGACACACGTAGCGTTTGTAGTATTTCGTTCATGATTCGTCACACTTTATATTACTAACACATATTGAATGAGAAACGGGAGACGCATCGTATGTAGTGACGAAAAAACTAAGGATAAGCAAAGAAACGAAGTTTGTAGTTTAGGAAATACTACAAGAATTTATTAAGAGACTGTTGTAAAGTAACAGAGACGTCGTTTAAAATGTAAAATAATATAATAAATGCGGGGAGTTTAGTTAGTATAGTATACTTTAAATGTGTGCTCGCGAAAATCTAAAATAACTTATAGTGATTGAATTATTATAATCACAAAACAATTTGACATTAGTTTCTGAGATTTTCTGTAGTAATAAACATATAAAATTAACTATATATCTGTATTTGAATTGATATAAAAAAGCATCCAATATTCACGAGTGAGGAAAAAAATCGTTTATTGATAGAAAATGTCTTAGTAAATAACGGGAAAGAAATAATAATTACGATTAATATACGTTAGAGAACTGAAAGATTTAAACGTGGTTTACTCATTAATATAAATACATTAAGTTACATAAATATTAAACTTTATAGTTAAAACTATAAACACGTAAAGTTTCTGCATCATTTCGATCTTATTATATTACTCCCATCACTACTTCAAGCTTACGTTTTATATTTCTTTAATAATTTACTTAAAAATAAAATATATTTAAAAAGCCGCTGAACGTAAGACGGAGATTCATTATTTAAAAAATACAAAGAGTTGATAAACCTCCCGGGAAATTAAGGCTTCATGAGGCGAGCTCCGTCACGAGGGACGGCTCCAGGACCGGCAGTAATGAAGATTGACGTATTGATTGGACTACAGACGGACGATCAGCTCCTTAGAACAATCATATATATAACATACTAGTATAACACACCTGGAACCGCTTGGAATACGCGAAAATACAGTTATACTACGCCAAAATACTAAACTAAAACAAAATCTCAATACATAAATACTCACTAATTAATTAGTAACGATATATTATATTAAATATTTATAAAGATTCAAGAATATAGTAATATATAGTAATAATAATATTTCCCAAAGAGGGTTGATGTCAGACAGGCGGCTGGTCGTAAAAACATTTAGCCAAAACTATTCACAACATGTAAGACAGACCCTGGCTAAAGCTGGGAAATTGCCAGGTAGAAGAACAATATATTATTATATACAAAACAGGTAAAATTATGTCAAAGGTGAGTCGAGAGGAGACAGAGGTCACAATAAAGATTCCCTCCGAACACTCGTATTAACCAAATCTCAAAGAAACACGTCCCACTTAACAATACATACAGTGCTTTATTTGCAATATTTTTGTAGAATTATTTTATCTCCAGACGTCATCGAATTTATTGTGTTTTAAATATAATATTTTTAGTTATATATTATTACAATAATTTCACAACTTGAATAATTAAAAAAGTAAAAAACTTTGGCGAGTCGAATTCGAAGATATAGTATAATTTTGATTTTTAATTTCATGTCAAGTGTCCGAGATGACAGTTGACATTTACTATACAAGAATGAGTTGATTGATTGTATTTAAAACTTATAAAATGATTAATTTACGCTCACATAACTTCATTAAAAAATATCCTATTATTTTATAGCTTCATAAATAACTTTAAATTTTCATTAATATATATTAATATAGCTATAACAAATTTTTTTATCTATGTATGAGAAATAATAATCTTTCTTAAAGTTGAATTCTTTGGAAGTTCTAGTCTGTGATAATAACGTATTTTGACCAAATATTATTTCTTTATTTTCTATTATATTTATTAACGGAATTTAACTTAAACGAGTCGGTTTTTCATTAACTCACAGCTAGTATATCTTTTGTAGCAACCAATTTAATATATAAAAATTATATAACCTTTTTAGAAACAAATATACTGGCAGCTAAATTTAAGATGACATATAATTATTATAAAGAAGAAAACAATTTTATATAGAAGGATACAAAAACTAGAGTTGTCATTAGAGGCCGAAATTGTAATACTAAAAAATTGTAAAACATATATATATTAACATAATATATATTCGTAAGTGGTATATATGTACATAATTAAATTACCACTTCACTTTAATATAGCGTTTAATACTAAGTAGTTTCTTCAAAATATCGCCTAATATCTGTTCTGTATGTATTAAACAGTATCCTGACCCAGTTTCTTTTCATCTAAAGAGTTCATCCAGTATCCAGCGTCTTTGACGTCCCCAGTATATCGAAGGCTGACAATAATTAACATTTTCTAATGAATATTTATAGATACCTTTAACGGCGCTCAGTTTGTTCCCAACCATCTGTTTCGCCACGAAAGCCGCCATCTTCCTGACTTACTTCACACTCCTTAAACTCTGAAACAAATTAAATACTTTGAATAAACGATCCAACTTTAATATTAAAGAAGAATTAAAAGTAGACATATTATATGAGACTAGTGATTGATAACGTCAATATACTTGGACGGTGAACGACTCGTTTTCTTTAAAGCTAGTAATTGTATCATAATCTTCTTTACTTTATTAAATATCATCTCTGAGGTCTTGGGTCTCGGTGAATGAGGTCGGATGTCAAAGGTCGCGGATTATCTCCCGCCGAAGCCTTTCTTTCTTCTATTTCAATTGGAATCAAATTGGAAAGGGATTAAAATTCTCCACGGCGATAATCACTTCAGTGGTATTTAAAAATCCTCAGATATTATAATTAAGAGCTCTCTTTGTAACTAAATCGACGCATTTTAAAAGATATTACTTTATTCAGAGGCTGATTAAAGGTCTGAGTGTTGAGGGAGCATTGAATGGAAAGAGATTAGTGTTACAGCTAGTGTTGAGGCATTTAGGTAAAGAACAGTTCGAGCTTTTATAGGTGTTTCTTTAGAAACAAAGATTTTAAATACTCAAAAGTAATGTCATAGTAGTCCTTTGTAATATATCGTACATAAAGGAACATTCTTTACATTTTTAATTTACAATATTATCTTGAACTTCTGTCAGGTTATTTCGGCACAAGATGTAGGTACGTGGTCTATTAAAAAAATATGCTTTAATGAATTCCACACTGTATATAATTAAATATAAAACATTATATAATTTAATTATTATTATTAAAGTTTACTAATATCGCTAATTCACAAAAAACCGAGTTCATACACCACGATTTTTCATTAAAAAATTTTGCAATAGTTTAACAATAAATAAAATAGTCAGAATACTCTTATTTTTATGATAACAAGTAACTTCGTTTATAACGTAAATAAAATTTATTTTTCGTACATCCATGAAAGAAATATATATATAAATATATACTATATAGTACTTGATTATTTTACGTTCGTTTTAGATAAAACTTGGAAGATAACGAAAAATAAACACTTAAATTGTAATAAGTAATAATTTAAGTATGTATATTGAACTGAGTTATAATTATATTTTATCTGTGTTCATTGTAAATTCATAGCGGTACACTGATTCCGGTAAAACTTTTGAACATAAATTTTACAGTTTGAAAGGATTTTTAAATGTTTGTTTCTTTTTGTTTGAAAATAAAATCTTCTTCTGTACATCCACGAAACGAGTTTAAAATTTTGTTTCCAAGTGTAATACCCTCGTATATTCGTTGTACAAAATATTAAATCTTGACTGTGGTTACAAAACAAAATACATATTATATAATAAATATGAAGGATAATTGTTTTAACGTTATATAATTTTAAATATTTAAAATAATAAAACATAAAGATTTCAATTTATTATGTACATAGAAAAAATACTTTGAATCAAAAAGTTTCTCGGTCATTTTAAATAGCGCCATCTGTTGTCTACACTCAACTTTTCTTAGTCAGATGGGGATTGATCGTAGTTCATAAGAAAAACGAAGAGGGCGCTGATCTTACCCCGCCGTTGCTATGACGATATCTAAGCCTTAAAACGAAACTTACCGTGGCATTGTAAGTATCATTAATTACATGTATTCATCATTTTAGAATTGTATTTTAAATTGTTAATAAAACAAAGAAAATTCTGCATCTGTGCAAAAGATACTTTTCTTTTTTATTTTATTTTTTACTATTAACATAACGATTTTAGATTATTCAATACGCAAGAATAACTTAACTTTTTGTATTTTGTATTTAGCATCAAAACATTCATTTCAAACATTCAATAAATATTTTGTTAGTTTACAAAAATAAATTTATTTTTTACGAC